CAGCCTTAAGGATTCTTCAGGCAGTGGGATAATCTTTACAAAATGACAGATTTTCCCCCAACTGAATGGTGAGAAAGCATGAATCTTACAAGCGATCACACTTTCTTCCTTATACATACCTTTATGTCTCAATTTTAACAAAAAGGTAAGGGCAACCCGGGGCATCCATATCCCCTTTGAAAGACAATGAGTGAACACAGTCCTTGAAACCTAAATATCTACTGTAAAATTCAACCACAGAAAGCTGCTGCGTTTTCGGCAAATGGCTGTTTCATTTTTGGAAGCTCCAGGATGCCAAGGTTTGTAAAGTTGGTTGCTGTAGGATGTTTACTGCTATTTTAACAGAAACATGTCTCCTTAGCCAGAGCAAGGCCTAAAAGTAATGAGAACTAACAATCTGGTTCAGTTGTTGAATATGTAAAGTACAGCAGAAAAATACACTAACACCTTCTTTCACCCAAAATACAATTAAATAAAATGCAAAGGAGGAATAATACCAATGTATGCATATATAACACATACATAATTGCAAAGAATGTATGCAAAAAGAGAGAAACAAAACAGAAGTGAAAATTTTAACATTACTGGTATTATTTGGGGATGGAACCTGGTTTCAACAAGAGAAAGCAATGATAAACAGTCATTTATAATGATATATTCAATTACTCTGGAAAACCACATTGCACTTTTACCAGCTTTCCTTAAAGTCTAAACTGAAGACCGTACTTGATGACAAAGAGATTTTGTGTAAAGTGTAGGAGAGACTATGATCTAGGGAAAAAACCAAACTTTCTGACTTCAACACAGTTTAAAATAAAATTTTAAAGTCACATGCTTCTTTGATATTGCAAAAAAAAAAGAGAAAGCACATATGCAAAAACCAAGCCACCAAAGTAATCTCCTCCTTTAATAAAGTAAAATACTTGCACTGATTCAGAACCCCTATACTAACAGTGAGAGCAATTTAAGCCTTATTTCTGAAATTTACATTTAAAAAATGTAAGCTGGGTCAAAGAAACTAGTGTGGAAAAAAATGGTGGTATTTAAAGCAAAAATCTGGTCTATGCAGAGGCAAAAAAAAAAAAAAAGGAAAGAAAAGGAAAAAAAAAGACCACAGTGATGTACTCTGGTCGCAGGCAGAGTGGGCTGCAAGGCCAGTTGTATCTAACAGTTGTGCGCCAAACAACAAATGGTGCATTCATAAGCCGCGAGAGCAGAGGCTGTGAATCTGCACACGAACTGATGAGCGGCTGACTTTCCTGTTGTTTCACAGTCAAGGAGTGAAAAAAAGACTGGACTCAGTTAGAGGCACAGGCTGTCTCTTCAGCTGTGGCAAAATGGTGAGCAAGAGGGTCCAGATAAAGAGGCCCAAGTACCATTTATCCTCTTCTAACAAGAGCTGGGCCTGATGATAATTGAGTAAACACCTCACCAGAAGATAATGCCGCAAGAGCTGTGGGGGATGGCGGGGAAGGCCTAGTGGAAACCAGGACAGCCTCCCCTACCCCCTTTTTTTTTTTTTAAGAAAACATGCAGCACCCCTAAATCCACAACCTCAGACGAAAGGATTAAACGTCCGCAACTTTATGACCTGTACGTGATGTTACCTCTCTACGGCCTTAACAAAAGAAACATCCAGTACCAGGTACTCAGCATCCCTGATAATTCTGTCAGACAGCCAACTTCTTAAAAAATTAATTAGTGGCATTTACACCTGCCAGTGCAGACAGCCTATCAGGGGTCTAGCCCAGGTACCACAATACCTCGCTTAACAGGAAACTCACGGTTGCAACAAGCAAGCATCAGACAGGAGAATTACAAGGTCTATGTATCATGTCCTAACTCTGGAAAAAAAAAAAACCCAGCGGCTGAAATGTATTCATTGGTCTCTCAGACATAAATGTACAAGCAGTAGCCTGTTTATAAACACATTCTTTGAAAGCTGATTATTAGGGGTGTTCACTAATCACCCCCAGAAGTTTTTTCAAGTGGACAAGCCCCAGCCTCACAAACAGATCTACTGAATCTGAATCCCCTGCTCTTAAGAATCACTGGATGCTGCAGCCCAGCGAGGCGTGACCACCCAAGAAAGCACACCAAACACCAGACAAGTCAGTCACAGATCTGAGGGGGGCTCACCGGAAGTGCTCTGGGTACCAAGCTGCTCACGGAAGGGGGGCCGGGGCTCCTGGGTGCAGGAGGCAGCAGGGCCCTCGGTGGGTGAACCCGCCTCATGCTCGCACAGATGTGAACGCCCACCGTGCCCGCTGGGGGCAGGGCCCGCGGGGACACAGGGCACACTGGCAGGACGCCTGCGGGCAGGACGGCCTTGAGCCCCGGGGGGGAGCGAGCCCCAGCGCTCCCACAGGCCCTGCTGTCCCCTCTGGACGGTGGGGCCTGAAGCACAGAACAAGGGCCCGGCGCCCGGCTCAATGGGCTGGTCACTCCGAGGGCCACGTGGACCCCGGAGGAGGCCTGGGGAACAGGTGCCTGGGGTGGGGGGGGTGGTCTGCCTCCCTGTGAGAGGGGATTTAAAACCTGAGGCCACGGGGGCTTGTTCGGTTCTGTGCTGAAGGCAGGTCACATCGGAAACGAGACAAACAGCCGCCCAACACTCAGGGTAGAGGACCCGACGCCGCAGGCTTCCCGTCGGTCAGCAGAGACGCTGCCTTCCTCGTCCCGTTCCTTCCCTGTCCTCAGCCTCCAAAAGGCTCGGCGACATCTTTTATCAGCCCCGCGCTGTTCTCACGAGAACAGCCATCAGGTAAGCCCAAGCCCTTTAAGGCGTACTCATTCTGGGCAGTAATTCAAAGTGCGAGTGGGCGCGCTCACGCCTATGCAAAACTTCTGGAACTTCACCTGGTCACAGGCTAAAAATGGCCTCAAACACACACCAGAAAAAAAAAAGTGGGAAGACTTCTCTCAGGGCGCACAATTTTCTAAACTCTCCCTGTGAGGAATCCCTTTCTAAAGAACCAACTCAATTACTAGACGGGCTCTTTGAAGGCCTCCGGCTGTCCACTGGATTGCCGCCCCGGCCACCGCGGGCTGAGGAGAAAGCGCCTCAAGGTCTTCGTGGAGGCGACGCCGGCGCGGCCCACGGGAAGGCGGCCGAGCCCCGCCCCCCGCCGCCCTCTCGGCCAATTGGCGCCCGCCGCCCTGACTGACGGCCCCGCCGCCCGCTCACCGGGACGCCCCGCGCGGGGCGCCGAAGTAGGCGGGCGGCGCCGAGGCCCGGGCTGGACCAGCGGCGCCCCGCGACCCCGCCGCCCAGGCTGTCGTCCGCCCCGCTTCCCGCCGGCCGCTGCGGCGAGATGGGCACGGGCGAGTCCCGGGACGACGGCCGCCGCGCGCTTTCCAGTGCAAACGCGCTTCTCTCAAAGACGGTCCCCCGTGTGCTCGAAGGCTCCGCGGCCCCAGGAGGGCCGGCTGCCTGGCTGCCTTCCTCCGCGTCCTCCCAGGCCCGGCCGCCGGGAGCCCCAGGACCGAAATCCATCCCGACGGCCTCGATGCGGGGCCACCGGGGAGGGGACACGACCCTCGGGCCGCAGCTCGCAGCCTCACCCTCCGTGTCGGCCACCGGTGCGCAGGGGCAGCCTGCGGTGAAGGACGGGAAGAGGGCAGTTCCTACTGTCCCTGCAGTTTTTAAAATGTGCAGATACTCTTCACTAAAAAAGAAGCACAAATCACATTCCTATTTTCGGAAAAGAGACATGGGCGAAAGTTTTAAATATTACACGATTTCCGAGGCCAGCACATTGACTCTCTATCTGGCCATATTTCATCTAGCAGGCTTGACTGTGCTAACTCCGGAAATGAAATTATAGTGCTCAGAGGGCCATCCCAATTAATCTTTCAGAAAGGAAAAAAAAAAAAAGGAAATCCCTGTAAAATCAGATATCGTCAGAATTGTCACAACATATGTTATAGTACTTTGCTGGGACCTGGAGAACTTTTCATCCTAGAAGGTGGGTCTTCAAATTTTTTTTTTTTAAATGAAGAAAAAGAAAAACTTAATTTTAAAATCACTTTTCTTGCCATTCAGAAGGAGCATCTGAAGAAATGGTTTTAACCCCAGGACATAGGGCAGACCAAGCGGCCCTGTCTTAGGCCCACATAACTGAAGAGAGGATATTGAAAGCGTGAAACTTGATGTCTTTCCCCCTAAATTCTCCATAATTTTTTAAAATTCAACATCCATGTGACCTTGGACTCTACATTTTCATCTGTCTCTTGCAGTACACTCTCTTTGCTAGCCATTCAGCACACTGCAAGCCCTGATAAAAGTAGTTAATGTTTACTGAAACCTGGGCATGAACTGTACTAAACCTGATAGGAGGGAAAAGGCAAAGTTCTGTTAACAGCATCCATGCACAATAAAAAATTAAAAAAAAGAGGGGGTGCAATTCCAGGAAGGGAAACATTTTTCTCTTTCTAATTTGAACTTAAAATCTGTCACTGATGAATATGTCAGTTATTCATCACCAAAAGATGCTTTTCATCTTTTTTGTTATCTCTGGAATATTTTCAACCCAAGTACACTTCAACTGTTTCATATTTTTCCAAATTTTTCTTTATAGATTTTATGACTTAAACCAATCTCTTGGTATCTCTTGTTCTGACTTTTTTTGGAAGGTCCAGCGACCTGATGCATAACCAATTTTAATGATACTATTCTCAAAGATTTATTCATTTGAATAGCTGCTTACAAGTCACAGATAAACAACTATATTTCATGCAAAAATAAATATAACCTTTCAGTGGATTTCATCTAAAATATTTTTCTTCCCTTGAGTTTTTTAGTTTATCAAATGTGAAAACAGTTAACTGCAGGATAATCAGATATTTAATTCTATCATTTCTCACACCATTACCTTCTAAGTATATTGTGTATCAGAACTTAGTGATATTTTAAACCTACTGATATCTATTTCTTCCTCCCGTTTCCACACTATCCCTCTTCCTCCCATTACCTCAGTTAAAATAATAATTCAACTTACACACATACACACACACAGACTGTATCCTCAACAGGATGCTCTCAGGTGTTTAAAGCCAACTTTCTCTCTCCCCATCCCCCCCTTGCTTAAATGGCAGCAATAGAACCAGTCACCTTGGAAACAAACATCACCCAGTGTTTGCAGAACAAACAATGGTACCTTTTCAGCCAGTACCAAGCAGGCAGGCCAAGGGACAGCCAAGCAATTCTGGGCCGTACAGGAGTTTCAACATATTGCATTCATTCAATGCACCAAAAAGTAGTTCAGTGCTGAAAATGAAGCGCTCACAAACGTGTGAGCCTTTGGCTAGAAACCACAGACAAAGCCAGGAAGGCTGGGAGGCCGACAAGGCTACCCTTAGTTAGAAGAAAATCCTTTCATTATTTTTGGAATTGTTTTTACACATGTCATGAATGAGGTAAACAACACTCTTGTCACTGAGAATTACCTTCTCTGGCAACTGGTAAGAAATTGCTTAAATTTTTTTTTAAAGCATGTTTTATCTAATTACTTCTATAAAACCATCATGGCATTTTAAAAAAAATATGCCACTAAATATTGGTTTCTAAAATGTGTCTATTGCTTGGCACCTAAGCCGTGTTAGACAGTGCCAAACATATATGAATCTGTAAGGACTCTAAATAGTAACATGCCACTTTTTGACCTTGGATAACAACAAGTATTAAACTTTCATTTCTTAAAGCCTTACAAGGGCTAATCATTTGGGGTAGCTCAAGTGTGAGAGGAGATTCTGTTGTTACTCTTTTAAAAAAGCTCAACTGGATAGTTAATTAAAACACACACACGAGTGTACTTCAGATCCTTCAGAACGAAATTTTTAAATGTTAAATGCAACAGTTTCCTCCTTATTCTGGGTGTGTGCCTAGCTTTCCTTCCCACCAATTAAAAGAGAAGGCTGGGCCCAACTGAATTATTTGGACAGGAGTTTGATGTCAGTTAAATACCACAGTAACTGGCATTTTCTATCACCTCCAGACTTGAGGGACAAATGCCTAATTAACATGGACCAACATGCAGCTTAAACTGGAAAAGTGCCTGTCCTTTTCCTTTCTTTTCTTTTTTTCTCCACGATTTAGGTCTTTAACATCCTTGAGTTAAAGCACACAAAGAGGGTCTAATGCCATCTGACTGAGGTGTAAAAGTCTAATTAACTAATGCTTTTTTTGCAGCGACAGTAAATCAGTTAACATTATTAATCTTGCTGACTGGGCCAGAGGAAGGGAGGGAGGGAGGCTTTTGAAAGGGAGCTAAACGGTTAGACTGGATGCCCTTGAAAATGAAAAGGAACCCTGCAAGCGATGACCGATAATCCTAAAAAAACGACTGAGAAATACTTTAAAATACCAGCGCTGGGCGTAGCAGCAGGCTGATCCTCTAGAAACTGAAGCTGTGGTTCCAGGGCCGCGAGAGGAAGAGGAGGCGTCTCCCCAATCCTTCCTTCCAGCATCACAGAAGGCAGAGCTGCTCTCCCTTCTCTGACCCTGCACTTTTCCCAGGAATGGTTTTTTAATTTTTTTTTTTTTTTAGTAGACCGAACAAAAATGACTACCTAGAGCAGCTGGGGCAAATGAGTCCTACAGTTTAGGCCAGCTTCAATTTATCAGGAAAACCACCATCTGAGTATTTAGATGGTTCTGTTCAAACTCCAGCAATGCACATGCGTGTCACACTCAGGTTAGCAAACCATAAACGGATTGCACAAATGCCACCTTCCAAACCACAGCCTGGTCTGTACCCAATCAATGGCAGTGAGTGCCATCTGCCTATCCACCCCACCCGTGCCCCATTCCAGAAGGCAGCTCCTTCCCCGGGGGCCCAGGAGGCACAACCTCAGCTTCCCCGCGGGCCCTGCCGCCTCCCAGGCCTTCTCTGGAAAGCTGGGGACAGGAAGAACCAGCATTGGACTTTAGGGAAGGACTCCCAGTGCTGAGCCAGAGACACAGGGACACCCAGGGCCATGACCCCAGCTTGCTCATCTTCCCAAAGAACATCTCAAAAAGGCAGAGCTGGGAAAGAAAGGAAAAGGAGGCCCAGGTACCAGGGCAGCTTGATCCTCTCCTGTCCCCTCAGTATTTCTGTTACAGTAAGTTTAAGTTTCTGTTTCACTGTCCCCTCTCCTAAGGACTATGTAAAGTGATGCGCATCTTTTAGTGAAATTCTGAGGGAAACCAACAGGTCTGATTAACAGCATGCTCTTACAAGCCACCGGATCATAAAGCAGTCTGGAAAGCATCAGAACTCAACCTATTTTTGAATAAAGATATATATGCTTTAATAGATTTAAATGTCTTTAGAGGGTGCTACCCATTACTTCGTGCACCCTTACACCTAAAACTCATCTTTTCTCCTGTTCAGAAAGGAAGGTAAGTTCAGAGAAAACCTTACTTATGTATCCCTAAGTTTATTGTCTATTAACCCCCCTCTTCAAATAACATCGCTTACAAAAAGCTTGGTTATTTACTATTACTCCATATTGCCTAAGCATTGGGACGTGAAACCAGCTACCCTTGAAGTGGGTAAAAAACTCCAACTGATTAAAAATTCTTCAAAATAAACTAGGCTAAATTCTTCAGATTGGAGAAGAAAATGGCAACCCACTCCAGTATTCCTGCCTGGAGAATCCCGTGGACAGAGGAGCCTGGCGGGCTACAGTCCATGGGGTCGCAAAGAGTCGGACACGACTGAACAACTAAACAACAACAAATTCTTCAGATAGAATTTATAGCTTCTATTTTTTTCAAAAAGACAATTACTAACATCTACAACACAAAGGCATGAGAGGGCACAGATGGAGTTCCCTGTCAGAAATCAAACCTTCCTTAGAATCAGAATTGTGAAACTGCTTTGGAATTCTGGAGATGATGCCTGGAGGGGTTTTGCCCTTGGAAACCTTTGTGAGGTCATCATCCATCCAAAAGTGACCACTGCCCCATCATGGTGAGTGCTGACCCCCCTGTACAGATGGCCACAGCTCTGTAACTGAGGTCAGCTCACCAGGCCCACTTCATGAAAGTAATTCTTCCACATTGGGCCTAGCTGATATGGGCTTACTGTGTACCTTGTTTTGCCAAGAAACTCGAAGATTTTCCAGAGCAACTTGGAAAGGCTATAGAAGCTTCCAAGAAAGATGATGGTCAACATTTTTTGAAAATACACAGACATCACATAAAATTTAAGCATAATACATGCTCCCAGCCCTGACTCCTAAAAATGGGAACGCTGGGATGATTCTTCTTCATCTGATGATACAGAGACACCACAAATGAGGCAGCTTCTTCCACCAGAAACCTGGCGGGGCTAAACAGTGCAAGAACTTTGTTCTCAGAGCTCAAGACTAGTGCCATATGAGGCAGCACTGTAACAATCACTAAGAGAAAAACAGAACTCTAGGAGAATGGAGATAAGATTTGTGAGGAGGGTCTCAGGCCTTGCTCTGTTGCCCTGCCCTAAATAAGTTTCTGAGATGCTTAGAAGTCTCTAATGTTATGGTACTTTTCCTGGGACAATAGCATCTAGCCTCACAAAGGATTTTCTTGTTTGTTTTCACTGATTAAAAAGGGAGAAAAACGCTGCTGGGGGCATCAGGGTGTCACCTCCTAAGGACACGATGAAAGAAAGATTCTGCGCATTTTACAGATGGAAAAACTGAGCCCCAAGGTGTAACTGACTCATTGGAAAAGATCCTGATGCTGGGGAAGACTGACGGCAGGAGAAGGGGACAGAGGATCAGATGGTTGGATGGCATCATTGACTCAATGGACATGAGTTTGAGAAAACTCTGGGAGTTGGTGATGGACAGGGAAGCCTGGCATGCTGCAGTCCTTGGGGTCGCAAAGAGTTGGATACGACTCAGCGATTGAACTGAACTGAAGGTGTAACATCTTTCCATTAACTGTAATTAGGGTTGGGCTTGGGTCCCTGGTGGCTTAGAGGGTAAAGTGTCTGCTTGCAATGCGGGAGACCTGGGTTTGATCCCTGGGTAGGGAAGATCCCCTGGAGAAGGAAATGGCAACCCACTCCAGTACTCTTGCCTGGAAAATCCCATGGACGGAGGAGCCTCATAGGCATGGGGTTGCAAAGAGTTGGACACGACTGAGTGACATGTTTGTTTGGGTTTAGGACCTTAGTCTCTGAGCTGACAAATCCAGCCCTCCCTCTAGCAGATCATGCAAAATGTGTGAAAAGGGCCAAGGGAGATAGTTCATCAGGTTTGTTCAAGTTTTCCTGATTCAATTCCCTTCTCCAACATCATTCCTTCCTCTGAAATGATGGGGAGAGCCAGGTGGGCTGGGCTCCTCTGGAAACTTCAGCAGTGAGCAGGTGGGAACAAAATGCATCTTCCTGACTTGTCATTTAGTGGCCCCCAGGTAGTTCTTGGAGTTAGAGAATTCCACTTGCCCTTCAGAACGGATCTGATTATTATCTACCTAACATCAGGCCTCAGAGTGATTCACATTCAGGCTCCATCTTCCTCGAGGGCAAGGGCCTCCTAGGAGCTATTTCAGAGGGTAAACGTCCTCATAGGCCCATCAAGCATCTACGGACCCTGCAAACTGTACACAGGTATGTGCTATCGTTAGGCAAGATGTATGAAGATGATGTTGTAATTTAGTAAAGAGAAGTTTCACTAAAAGTATTATTTTTCAAAAAACATTTGTCAGAGCTTCTCAACAGAGCCTAAAAATACAACTAAAATTATGCTTATCCTGGAAAGATTTTTTTATTAATACATTAAGAGAGGTCCTTATGTTAGAAAAGACTGGGAACAGCTGCACTAAAATGTCAAATGACATTGATTAAAGCAAAACATCTGATTAAAAATACAACCAAAGTAACATAACATACCATCAGCCCTGACACTCACCCCTGTGATCTAATAAGATGGAAAACACCTCCTTATCAAGAGAACTTGACCCTTTGGAGGGACTTTTTGAACTGCTCGATTTGCTTTTCACTGGTGTTTGTTTGGAGCAATAGGATGACACATCACAGGCTAATCAAAAAATAAATAAATGCATTTTGTCAGTTCAGCATTTTCCTCTTTAGAATAAATCAATTTCCACTTACCTATTCATAATTTACCTATTCAAAATTTTCAAAATTTTAACCCTAAATTGGCTTTATTTAACCTAGGAACAATGGTTAAGACTCTGCACTTTCACTGCAGGGGACACAAATTCAATCCCTGTTCAGGGAACTAAGATCCCACATGCCACACAATGCAAGGGAAAAAAAAAAAACTGAATAAAGAAAACCCCAAAACTAGCCTAGGACCAGTGAGTGCCAGAAGTGCAAAATAATCAAAATATTAACCTACGGCTCTCCCCTCCTCAAATTGTGCCACATCAAAATAAAGTGATTTTCCTGGCAAAGAACATTTGGATACATCAGAAAATACTTATCACATTAAGTTTTTAGTAGATATGGTATAATTTAAAGGCATATACAAAAATGGGCTTTTTATTGTTCACAACTGTAATAAATCCCATTTTTGTAGTAAGTATGTATTAAGAGGAAGGAGATATACAAGAAGGAGACTTGTGAGTCATGAAAGTAATGTTACTTTCTTAGATGCTTTACTCAATTTTGTTTGTTTATTTAGAACTTTTCTATGGTGACTAGGAGGTAAGTGTGCAAAAAATAAAAAACCTAATGGGAAAAACCCTACTTAATACTTAGGTTTATGGATATAATCTGCTCACTAACATCCCTGATGAGAATAATGGTGGTTCCACCACACAAATGTTCAGACAGCCTCCTGCCACGAATATAAAACTCCAAGCATCTGGACTTGGCAGTGCTGCTGCCATTGAGAGAATGGACCATCTTACATGGTACCCCCAGCCCTGCCCCTGCAGCTCTCCAGGCCTGATGCTCCTCACCTGTGAACTAGCGGGGGTGGAAGGAGACAATCTGGACCAGGATCCTGGAGGCCCCTCCCAGAACAATATTCTGACTGCAAACCAAAAAGGTGAAAATCAGCTTAACCAAGACCTTGCGAGTGGTGACCACTGGCCCAGGGTAGCTTTAAACGAATTCCATCAGTGTTACCACTTTCATCACTTGCTAGATAGTACAGCCAAGACAGCAACCTTAGATGAATAAAAAGTACTTTTTCAGATGAATGAAAAGCACTTTTTAGAAGCTCGGTGGCAGGAACATTTGAGCCTGGCTAATCAGTACGGCAACCCTGCCCCAAAGGAAGACAAACACAGACAAGGGAACGGAGACAAACCCTCCCAACGCCACTCTTCGATGGCTGGCGAGGTGCCAGGCACTCTAAGTATTTATAGTGTTTTATATCATGCCCTCCAATCCCATGACATAGATCCGATTACTCCCGAAATTTTACATGTGTTAAAAAGGTCTGCTGAGAAAACAAGAGATCTGAGGTGTGACCAGCAAGAGTTATTTGTGCCTGTAGGCAAGGCACCAAACTGCTCTGTCTGAATGCCTCTGCCTCGGACAGGGGTTTAAAACGACCTCATTCATTCATTCAGTGCTGTCTGAGCACCCAGGCTGTGCCAGGCACTAGGGTGGGTGCCTGTGGTCATGGGTGAACTAACAGGGAAAATGCAGCAAGAAGCTCTCGGGGAGCTTACACTCTGGTACAAGGAAAACAGATAACCAAGCCTAGAACGGAGTGGGGCGCACTCCGGGACTGGGTGACGGACAGGGAGGCCTGGCGTGCTGCAGTCCATGGGGTCGCCAAGAGTCAGACACGACTGAGTGACCGAACTAAACTGAACACGGGAGTGGGTGCTTGACAAACAGCTCTCCCTCCTCCTCCGGGAAAGGGAAAAGCCTTGGAAAACAAATCCAGGAGAAGCTATCAGCTCTAAGCCAGCCCCAAGCCAGCAAGTTTTATTTCATAAACAAATACAGAAGAGCAAAGATTAAGGAGTACCGCAGCTCGGCCTCAATGTCATTTACCCTGGAGTGGCCTCGGGCAAGTTCTTTAAACTCCCTAAGCCTCAGCTTCCTCACCTGTAGGATGGAGATAGCAGTGACCTCAGAAGTGGAAGCAGAGGTTAAATCAGACAAAACAGAGAAAGGGAGTGGGGGAGGGCCCAGTGCCCCCTGGACCTTCAGGGTAACGCACGACTGGGTGCCAGCAGCACCTGGCTACCACCACCAGCCTGGCGGGCTTGTTGTAAGCAGCATGGAAATAAAGCATGGAAACCACTTATAGGACTGCATGCGACGTCCGTGTCTGCTTCTTCAAAATGCCAGTGACACTGATGAATGGGGAGCTGCCCACCATCGCACCCCCAGGACAGAGCTCAGGACAAAAAGCTGGGGAGGTCACACCAGGGGCCTTAAGAGCCTCGTAAGAGCACTTTGCTTCGAGCACAGGTGGGGAGGGCACCTTTGGGACGGCGGCAGATACCAGAGGAAAAAGAGGCGCCAGAGGACGAGATGGTTGGATGGCATCACAGACTCAATGGACAGGAGCCTGAGCAAACGGGAGTCAGTGGAGGACAGAGGAGCCTGGTGTGCTGCAGTCCACGGGGGTCGCCAGCAGCTGAGACACAACTAAGAAAACTAAGACCACTAAGGCACAACTTAGCGACTGAACAACAGATAACGCAGAAGTGTGAGTCACTCAGTTGCGTCTGACTCTGCGACTCCATGGACTGTAGTCCGCCAGGCTCCTCTGTTCATGGGATTCTCCATCCAGGCAAGAGTACTGGAGTGGGTTGCCATGCCCTTCTCCAGGGGAATCTTCCAGACCCAGGGATCAAAGCCGGGTCTCCTGCATTGCAGGCAGATTCCTTACCATCTGAGCCACCAGGGAAGTCAAAAACTTGGAAACTGGATGCGGGGGAAGGATCAGGAGCCTGGGCTCAGGCCCCACCCGGGCTGCGACACCTGGGCTGGGGCAGGTCCTCCTAGAAGTCTCAGGACCCATCAGGAAAGGCTCTCTGCCCTGGTTTCAGTAAACCAGGGTTAACCTCTACACCAACATGCCAACACTATAAACGTGATCCGGCATTTCAGCAGACAAGTCCCGCAAAGAGGCAAACCAGAACAGAGATATGAACCAGAACCGTCTCCATCGGGGCCTAAACTGGGACCAGGTCTCCTGCTGCCCTGGGTCCTTCATCCTCTCACGGTGGCTCCTCTGGAGCTGGTTAACCAAGAAGTCAAATTATTAAGCCAGAGTGTGTGAGTCAGCTTTGAAACAAGTCTGCGGCTGTGAAGAAAGCAAGCCCCCCGTTCATGGACATCAGTCTGGCGGAGCAATGCAGAGATCTGCCTGCTGCTGGGCTTGTTCCGAACCAGCTGACAGGGCTGGGCTCTCTGCCTCAGGCCAGCAATCAGCAGCGACGGGGCCCCCAGCAGCCGCCCCAGGGACAGCCGTGGCCACTAACTCCCTCTTTGAGGATGTCTCCCAAGCCTTATCAGGTGACCGGTCACTCCTCTGTTCAAAACCTTAGGACTGTGTCCCACGGACAGAAGGAAAGCTCCAATTCTGCCGCACCCCCCACCCCAAGGAGCCCTCCAACTCCACCACCTTCCAGGCCATGGTCCTCCACCCCAAATGACACCCAGCCTGCCCCTGCCCATGGGAGCAAGGCTCGGGGGCGACCCTGCCCTGCACCTTTTCATGATAGGAACTCCCCCAAGTCAAGAACTACGGGGCTTCATCACGTCTCAACCCGGTGTCCTACACGTAGAGGCACTCAAATGTGTTGAGCTCCAATTCCAGCGAACTATTAAAGAGTCCACATCAAGGTTCGCAGTTGCTGGGCTGGGAACTCTCTCCAGGCACCCAGCTGTCCCAAGGGCCCATGGGACTGGAGAACATCTTTCAGTCTGCGGCTGTGGCCTAATGCTTTCCGGCGGCCTGACACTGCCTGTGTGATCTCAGAAAAAGGTAACTCCCCTAAGCCTCAGTTTCCCGTCTTTAAGAAGAGGAGGACGACACCTCCGCCCTGCCCATGGGGTCACATTGGCAAGCACCCCTGGGTCCTGGCCCCGAGTGGGGCTCTCCTTCCTCAGTGACCTGCCCTGGCTGGTCACGGGAAAGGGGAATCCACTCAGCACTCAGAGCCCCCCATCTCTGCCGCAGCTCCTCGCCTGGCCCCCCAGAGCCCACCCCAGCTCACAGCATCCCACCTCCTTCCGCACAATCCCAGCACCAGCGAGAGAGCACGGTTAAGGAACAAAACAGAACGAGAGAGGCCGCCAGCAGTTCATAAAACCTTACCATATAAAAATCAGTTTTAGGTGATGAAATTATTAACCTTAAGGTATGCATCCCGTCCAAACTGCAGGGGCCTCCCCACATTTTCCACAGCCCTCTCAGCCAGGTCCCTCGGTCCCTGAGTTCAGGCCTTGAAACCTACGAAGTCACGCATAGTAAAAAGGGGACCTGTTCTCCCCAGAGGGAAAGGCAGAGAGTGCCTCCACCGTAATTAATCAACCACTAGCGTCTCTGGGGCCCGCTAGCTGCCTTCATGCCCTGCATCCCTGTGGGTCTTTCCTGGCCGACCTCACCGGTGGGAGGAGGTGAAATCTCTGCAGAAGACCGGTAACACCGTGGGGGGGGGGGGGGGGGCACAGGGCAAGGCCAGAGGCTACCCAGGTGAGACACCCCTGCTCAAGGCAGCTTCCTCTTTGTGAGCAGATCCTACATCCACGGCAACTTCCAGAAATCTTCATCCACAGGCTCATCAGCTCGCCCTCCAAGCCCACCTTCACTCCCAGCTGACAAACCAGTGATCCTAACGAGTAAGTAGCTCCCCGGGACTCCCAGCATCCAGCCTGAGGATTCTCGAGGGAACAGAAATGAGTCTAATTGCCTGGATGAGTCTATTGCTCTCCCTGATGAGCTTAAGTACCAAGCAGTAAACACAGTCTGGGAAGTTTAAACCTTGGTGAACTGAATTCTATTTGCTGAAAGTCAAGCTCTCACCTTTGAATGATCGTTTAATACCACCTCAGATGGCAGCCCCCACATCCTGGACTGAAAAAAATCTCTTGAAAAAAAGGAGAAAGAATAATTCTGTTCAGTACAGCACCAATGTCAAGTTCGTTCTGCCAGACATGCCTCCTCTGCACCCTGGTTTTTCTAAAGGGTTAGCAGAGTTTCTGTCCAGGACAGAACTTCTCACATCACAACCCGGCTTTAAAGTACTCCCTGGAACACGACTGCTTCCACAACCGGCCGTCTATTCTGCCAGAGACACCTCTCGACACCCCTTCCACCCAGTCTCGACACAGCACCCCGACCCTGCTCTCTGGTCTCGTCCCAGCGCCTGTCCATCCCACCCCCCAGGAAGCCCTGTGCTGTCGTTCCCCAGGGCTTCCACTCACACTCCTCTCAGCCTAGACGTTCGTCTTCCTTTCCCTACGTGCTTCCCCACGTGGCCAGCCATTCACCTCTGAGGACGCCATCACTTCCTCTTTTCCCGACCGCTCCCCACTGCCTGTTCTGGTATCTCTGCCGGCTGTGACCCACTGCTGCGTTTCAGGGCTGGACCACGTCTTACGCATCCTCGCCTCCCAGGAGCCTACTGCCCGGGGGACGTGTTGAGCAGCATTCCGATGCAGGACGCTGATTCCAACCCCAAGGAAGAGACAGCATGGGATGCTTGCTGATCTTCAACCCAGACTTCTTGCCCTGCTCTTTCACGGGAACTGTCAAACTGCCACCAGCAAAATAGCAACGGTAAGAATCATGGTGGGAGTAAGGGGAAGCTAGGTCGGTTATAGTCAAGCTGGCAGCACAGGAGGCTGAAATTCTCTATTTGTTACTAAATTTCAAAACAACCCTTCTCCAACAGACCCACCGGAAACAGGAAACAGGCCATGAAGCCCTCATCGCAATTTAAGACTTGCTGGTTCCACAACTTGCTTGAGTGGGCCCCCATAAAAGGGTAGGACACTCCCCACCCCAGTAACATCCAAAGGGAGACAAGGTGTCCTCCATTGCTGTCCTACAGTCCCTGTAGCTCCTACTGCTTAAGAAGCAAGGGGGGGAAGCCCTCCTTGAGGCTATCTCCCTTAAATAAGGACAAATTCAAAACATCAGGTTAGCAATCGTTGAGTCGCTCAGTCTTATCTGGCTCTTTGCGTCCCCATGGACTGCAGCACACCAGGCCCCTCTGTCCGTGGGACTCTCCAGGCAAGAATCCTGGAGTGGGTTGCCATTTCCTTCTCCAGGGGATCCTCCGGACCCGGGGATCGAAGCCATGTCTCCTGCACTGCAGGTGGCTTCTTTACCACTGGGCCACCAGGTTAGCCCCAGGTCAGTACTCAGATCAACTGCGCCGACCTCCCTGGAACCACAGCCCAGTGGCCCTTAGATCACTGATCCTGACCCCCAGTACAGACTCTGAAGCAAAATGTTGATTTTATAAATTAAATGAAACGGCAATGCCCTGTTATGACAGCAAACAACAAGGGACCTGTTTGGAGGAACCGGGCTCTCCAGGAACCCTCGTCCCCAGACACTCACAGAGCCGACAGTGTCCCGGCTCTCCCAAAGTGGCCGACACACCATGCTTACTTGGAATCGGTGATCAAGCACTTTCAGTGAGGTTAAACGTGGGTGTCCACAAGAAAGAAGCTGAGGGGCAGGCATGTACCCCGCTCCCCACCTCACACAGGACCAGCAGAAGCCCCGAGTGCAGGCCCACCCTCCCCACCCCCTGGAGCGTCTGACGGGTTGGGGACAGTGAGGCCTCCAGCAGGATGATCAGGGTCTCTCCCCACTCTCCACAGGGTCTCCCGGGCTCCAAGTGCTCTGGGACAGCCACTCCCCACCAGCTGATTTGTCAACCAGCAGCATCTCTGCAACCCATACCTGGAGCTCAGTGGTAAAGAATCCGCCTGCAATGCAGGAAGACCCGGGTTCGATCCCTGGATCGGGAAGATCCCCTGGAGACGGAAACAGCAACCCACTCCAGGGTTCTTGCCTAGAGAATTCCATGGACAGAGGAGCCTGGCGGGATGCAGTCCATGGGGCCGCAAAAGAGCCAGACTTAGCAATTCAACAACAACAAAGCACCTTTGCAGGCCTCTCTCTAGCAACCCTCCCCTCCCCCTTGATCGTCTACAGAAGCGATGGCCTAACTCACTTTGTCTAAAAACCAGATAGAAGGACTCGTTTCACGGGCTGGGTTTGAAGCTGCTATTTCCAAGAGCCAGCAGGCTTTGGGGCATATTCACTTGGGGACCACGTCACGGCGTTGTGGGAGACGTGGAGCGCTGGCTACCAGCACGGGCTCTGGGCTCAGGCTGTTCGACAACACTGAGCTGGCCATCTCACTGGGTCTGTTTCGCCCTCTAAATAAAGGGGATCATGATCACACCTACATCACGGGGGCCATGAGGGGGTGTGAAGGTGGAATGGGATGACCCACGTCAAGAGTTCAGGACAACGACATAACTGGTGTGTGCCTGAAACCTTAGTTCACACGACCGCTTCCTCCAACTCAACAACCATAGAGTGGTGAAAAAGTGTGGGAACTTGAGATTTTTGACTTAAGATTGGAGTCATATATGGATTAAGTCTAGCACAGGCAGGAGACAGCCTAAACTACAACATCTGGTTTATCTGATTTAAAGCAAATACAGGTGGGCTTTGACTACTGATGCTTTTCACCAAGGGCGGCCTGCTGACTGTATTTAAATGCACTCTCAGTGATTTGTTTATAATATGAATAACCAGGTCACAGTTTCTGCTGGATTTCTATGGCTTCTGCTGTCTACAGATATAGAACACAGCAGGAGCAATCACTAGACTCCCCAGCCAGCCAAAGGAACCTCCCCAGATTCCATCCACTATAAAGGCGGCAGTGATATAAACCCGCTGAGCCATTTTGGTTACGATCTCTAAGTGAAAAATAATTTGACCATCCCAAGCCCTTCAAGAACCAACACCAGGGATTAAACACAGCCATGTAAAGAAAGAAACCGCCCAGCAGATAGCAAGAGTTGTCACCGTTATCCAGCAGTTGTGGGTGGGTTATCTGCAAGCGAGCTTATACCTTCGTCACCATGAACTGCTACTGGATGTCCCACCCACCCCAATTCTGGACACATTACAAGGCAATCCCCGTTAGCTATTTTTGTGACAGACGTATTAGACCTCCAAACCCACGCTTCAGCTTGGGTCATGATGAGGTGGGGGGCTGAGCTGCGTGCAACTGGACCTTAAGATTTAACTTTTCCAAAAGATGCCATAAACTCAAGTTTCTCAAGTTCCCTGCCCAGCACGCCCTCACCAAGCTGTTTCCGCTGGAAAGAGTGGGAGGGGCAAGGTCCCTGTGGAGCGTTTCCCCTCATCTGCTCATCTTATGAAATGTGCGGCGGGAATAAAGTGCCATCCGTACAAATGAGAGTGAGGCTGCTGATGCGGGAACATCTGTGCTCTTTAAGCAAAAGATGAACAGTCATGTTCTCCCCGAGCGGGGCAGCGCTCTCTGGGGACCAGCAGTGGGGTGACCTGGGTCAGGATGGATCCCATAGAAAAGAGAAGTAGCGGGGGGCGGCAGCAGACTGGGGCTCATGGGTGGTTTGGATGAGTCATTTCCATGACTTCGGAGAGAAGCTCTACTCAAATCCAGCAGCGGCACTGTTCATGCTTTCTTGGGGTCTGGTTGAAGGAAGGTGTCCTAGCTCACACCCAAGAGGATGGCCGTGCAGGCCAAGTGAGGCAGGCCCCCCTCCCACCCGCCATGAAGCAGGAATCCCAGTGCAGGAGGAAGTAGGAGGGTGGCAGTCAGCCCCCAGGGGCTCTCTGGGGGTCAGATTGCACAAGCCAGCGGCCTGTCCTCCAGCTCCTAGCTTTCACCAGCTCAGCAGAAAACACACCACGTTCTAGCTCCATTCCAAAAAGATTCTGTTTGCCTTCAGAAGAATGTAAAAAAAGCTAGCTAACACAGTAAAACCCCACGGTCTGCCTCAAAGCAGACAGCAAATGTGCCATCACCAGAGATGTTCGGACACAGGCTGGACCGCGGCTCGGTGGGGCCCAGCCCGGGGCAAGGATGGACTGTCTTCCTTTGGCACCCTTGGGAGACACGCGGCAGGTTTGGTTTCCTGACGTGACTTTGTTTCCACACACATTACTGGTCAAGCAAAATACTGATGTCGTTCTAAGACACTCAGAGCATCAGCAGGGACTGAAAAACTTAAGAAAGTGGGACAGTCAGGTCAGCAGAAGAGTTCTGACCCTCTTCAGTGGAAAACTGGGGCAATTTTGAGAGTCCTGCCTCGGTTCTTAACTTGAGCCTCTGCCTCCAAGCCCCAGGCTCCCAAGTCAGAGATAAAGCATCACTAAAGCAAAGAGAAACTTAAATGTGCTAAGATTTTAGTCCTATGTCTCATCTGAAAACCATTTGGAAGCTTGGGCTACAGGCAAGAACTCTTCCAGCTTCCTTTTGGCCTCAGGAAATTAAAAAGGAGAAAAAGGAAAGAGGAAGAGGGAGGGGAGGAGAGGAGGAAGCCATAGGTAAGAACCTCACTTCTGTCTCTCATTTTTATAGACGTCCTTTCCGGGCGTCATCCACGCCAGGTACATTAACGTTTTAACCCATGGAAACAGTCCAAGTAGAGAAAATGGTGATAAAGTTCAAACACATCACTTCTTTAAAGGGCAGGGAAGGTACCTGGTTCATAAACCTGGCTTTATCCCGCAACCTGATCCCAGAGACAGGCAGCAGCACCAGCTGCCCGCCAGGGAAGCCAGAGGCCTGGAAATCATCCCGCCCAGCCTCCAGCCCTTCCGCCGGCCTCCAGCTCCACCGAAGCCACCCAGGCTCCACCTCACCAGCCAGTCGGCTCCGCCGCTGCTTCTCAAAGCCGTGAACCACTAACCTTCTCGACGGTCTCGCAAATAGACGGCGACAGAGCTGCTGTCTTCTGCTCTAGATTATCTTCCACTCTGGCCAGGAGTGGTCTTTAAAAATGCAAATCTCATCATGCCAGTCCTTGGCCTGACATCCTGCAAGGATTCCCAGAGTTCTTCAGGATAAACTCCAAATACCTGCGAGGGAGGCGCTGCGGCTCCGGCCCCGCCCACCGCACCACGCGGTCCTCAGGCCTGGTGGGCTCCTCTGGGCACTCTGGCCTCCTCGCCAACCTCGGGGCGGCAGCATCACCGGCCGTGCCCTGCGCCCTTTCCTCCTGGCATCCTCCGCCCCGCCAGCACATCGCACGCTCCTGCCGCACCGAACACGCCGCCCAGACGCAGATCACTCAGTGGTCCAGCGTCTTTTCATGTCTACGAAGCTAGCCACTGCCTCTTTCTCACACTAGTAATACCTTTGGTGCTTATCACAGTTGTCGCATCGCTGAAGTTCAAATTTGCTGCATAAATAAAGATCTATGAGTTAAAAAAAAAAAGTAGCCCTAGGAGGTTTGCAAATCAGGGGGTACAAAGTGCCTGTTTTCCAAAAGGAGGCTGAATGGGATACTGAATCCAGCTCGATGCAGTATTTCAGGAAAGGGGGGTTGTAAAGCTTCACTAGGGGCTTCCCTGGTGGCTCCAATGGTGAAAGACTTCGCCTGCCTGAGAGCTCAGTTGATAAAGAATCTGCCTGCAATGAGGATACCCCTGTTCGATTCCTGGATTGGGAAGATCCGCTGGAGAAGGGAACGGCTACCCACTCCAGCATTCTTGGGCTTCCCTGGTGGTTCAGTCGGTTAAAGAATCCACCTGCAATGCAGGGGACCTGGATTTGATCCCTGAGTTGAGAAGATTCCCCTGGAGAAGGGAACAGCTACCCACTCCAGTATTCTTGCCTGGAGGGTTCCATGGACTGTACAGTCCATGGGGTCGGGAAGAGTCAGACATAAGTGAGCGACTCTCACTAAGCAATGCAGGAGAACCAGGGTCAGGAAGACCCCCTAAAGAAGGGAACGGCTACTCACTCCAGTCCTCTTGCCTGGGGAATTCCGTGGACAGAGGTAAGCTCTCAAACAACAAATGGTTTTCAGAAAATTTATTTTCATGATTTTAAAAACAAGTTTAACTTAGACTAAGGTGTGGGAGTTGAGCCTCCTTTAAATCATACTTGGTTCAAAATTTTAAGTAGAACACTTTGATCCAATGTAGTTTTAACTGACCAAGTTGTGAAAACCTGTTTGAGATGCTCACTAGCCAGTTTTATGTAATTACCCCTCCAAACAATTAAAAGCCCTAAAGTGGAAGAGAAAATGGCTTTTAAAAAAACACACAAAAAAACCTTTTTTCACATCAGAGAGGAAAATATACAAGTCTTCTTAGAAATAAGATGAAGTTGGACTAATATATCTGAATGTATGTGCCAGATCTGAGCCTAAATAACTCTAGTTATCAGGTGAGGACGTTAAGGAATATTTAAGGGTAGCAATAATGTACTTTTAATCGACTAGGCTTTTATCTTGTATAAAGGATACTAAGATCTTCTAATGTAAAAAACAAAACAAAACTTAATTCCTTATTTGAAAAGGAAACCTATCCACATAGTTACAAACATAAAGGTATAAAAGGATCCATAAAATGCCTTTCTCACCCCATCTTTACAGTGTCTTCCATATTCCCCTATTTCTGAAGACATATGTACCTCTTTTAGAAGAAAGTTAAGAAAAGATTTTGAGATGATTTTGTGTATTTGCAGTATTTGTTTTTTTTTTTAAACAATAAAGTCTCAGCATAAAGGAATTTCCCACAGAACAGTGAAAATGATTCTTTCTATAAATATGATCTATAATCAACTTCTGCCACATAAGTATGCATGTATATTGTGTGCACAAAGACACAAATAAAGCAAGATCTGCACCCTGTAGGTTTCTGGTTTGGCATTTCGTTTTAAATCCAAGCAGTAATGGCAAAAAAGAAAAGTTAAATTATACACAGACCAACACTCCTATTAAC